GGAGCTGATTTTACTACTCTCATTCCTCTCCAGGGTCCCACTACTTTGGAGATTTTCTCAAACTCCACACCCAGAAAGTCACCGACCTTTTCCCGGTATCCTACACCCCTTCCCTACCTTAATTACACTCCCACCCCCAGCCCTCAGCATCGGAGTCAAGAGCCACAGGGACACTTCCGTTCTCCTTGTAGGATTGATGAAACCGTAATGAAGAACACCCCCTAAACTCCCATAATCGGTGCGGATTCCTATGGGGAAGGCCCATATTGTTGACATCTTCCAGGCCTTGGTTCTGGACCTTGAGAAGGAGGCTGAATAGTGATAGCGATGCTTTTTAGGGTAAATGTATGTAGGTATTGGGGGAAGGGGAGGGATCAACCGAGAAAGCATGGAAGTGGTTTAAAGCTCATTTTTCAGTTTGTGCTGCTCATATAGAGTCCAAATTAGGAGTTACTCATTTACAGGCTGTAAAGCTTCTACAGTCTAAAAATTTCTGAAAACCAAGCATGGATTAACTCTTGATACAAACAGTAAATTGAAAATTCAACTTGTAACCTTATTTTTAAATTTTACTCTCAAAGCTTTTTTCTAGCTAACCACATTTTTAAAAAATTGTGATACTTTTAGTTAGAGCTGAAAGGGCTCAACTAGCATTTGCTGTTGATGACCAGTATGTGGAGTCTGACTTAGCTTTCCAGAATTGATTGATTTTTGGGGTTGTATTGGCAAATCACAGTCCTAAATGATACATGTTGAATGATGCACTATGTTTTTGTTTAAATGAAATTTACTGAAAATAATTAATTCCAGAATTAAGGGAAATTGATGTTGCTATCATAAGGCAGCATAAAAAAATACATTTTTTAAATGGCAAAGACATTTCAAGCAGATATAGTTCTTAATGAACCAGAAAGAAGGCGGACCTGGAATTTGGAAGACGTGGTTTCTAACTGCTGCTGACCAACTCTGACTCTGGGAAAGTAGGCCTTGATTCTTTTTTCTATAACATGAGGAGCTTGGACTCTTTGAATTCAGAACTCAGAAAGTTGGAAGGGATCTTAAAGCCCTTTATGAAGGAGTTTGGGAATGTTCTCCATTGCTGTCACTTTTCCTCCAAAAATAACCTGGCTTGGAAGTCATTGGTCCAAAGGGAATTTGACTCCCCATAGAAATTGGAGAAAAGGTAACGCAAGTAGAGAGGAACAGCTGTATGTCTGTTTGAGGAATAAAGCCACTAACAGATTCTGGTACGAATTTTGGAGACATAAAGAGAATGAGTGTATGTACCTTAAGTGTACCAGTTTCCTCACTCTCTCCTGGCAGAAGATGTGGCACTTTTAGGGATGCTGGGATTCTGGGATGTGTTCCTATTAATTCTAATACAGATGAAGAAGATGTGATAGAGGGAAAGATGGTGGCAGAAGGAACGGATAAAGAGGCAAAATTGCCTGCTAAAAAGAAAAGAAAGAAGGGTTTGCGAATTAAGGGGAAAAGGCGACGAAAGAAACTGATTCTTGCAAAAAAGTTTAGTAAGGATTTGGGATCTGGGAGGCCTGTGGCAGAAGCCCCTGCTTTGTTAGCTTCCAGTGCACCTGAGCAGGATGAAGAAGGTCTTTTTGAGAGCAATATAGAAAAACAGATCTATCTACCCAGTACTAGAGCCAAGACCTCCATTGTTTGGCACTTCTTTCATGTTGACCCCCAGTACACCTGGCGGGCTATTTGTAACCTTTGTGAGAAAAGTGTTAGCAGGGGAAAACCAGGTAGCCATCTTGGGACATCTACTCTTCAACGACATCTGCAGGCAAGGCATTCACCTCACTGGACCAGGGCCAACAAATTTGGAGTTACTAGTGGGGAGGAGGATTTTACTTTGGATTTAGCTTTGTCTCCCTCTTCTGCTGGAAGCAATGGAAGCTTTGAATATATATCTACTGATCCATTAGATGATAATGGAGTGGGTAAGAAACGTGATAAGTCAGTATCTGATGCCCTGAGGGCAGAAAGAGGGAGATTTCTCATCAAAAGTAATATTGTCAAGCATGCCTTAATTCCTGGAACAAGAGCCAAGACATCTGCAGTTTGGAATTTTTTCTATACTGATCCTCAGCACATCTCCAGAGCCGTGTGTAATATTTGTAAAAGAAGCGTGAGCCGGGGTAGGCCAGGTTCTCACTTAGGAACTTCAACACTTCAACGACATCTTCAGGCCACACATCCCATCCATTGGGCTGTTGCCAACAAAGACAGTGGTGCAGTTGGAAATGGATTAGATGAGGCTGAGACTGAGAGAACTGATCTCTCGACCGATGCTTTGCATGGAGAGAAGTCTACAGGCATCCAAGATGTAACAGCTGAGGACCTTAGTGATTCTGATTCTGACGAACCTCCTGTATTAGAGGTTGAAAATAGAAGATCTGAGAGTCCTGTTCCTGTTGCAGAGCAAGACACTCTAATGCATGCACAGGAACAAGAAACAACATATTGTGAAAATTCAACCTCAAGACAAATAAATCAGGCAATTATTCAGATGATTGTGGAGGATATGCATCCTTACAACTACTTCTCAACCCAAGCCTTTCAGAGGTTTATGCAGATTGTGGCCCCTGACTATAGGTTACCGTCTGAAACTTACTTTTTCACTAAGGCTGTGCCTCGGTTATATGACTGGGTCAGAGAAAAAATTTTCTTAACTCTGGAAAATGTTCAGAGCCAAAAGATCCACCTGACTGTGGACATATGGACCCATGACCCATCTACTGACTATTTCATTGTGACTGTACACTGGGTCTCTTTGGAAACTCCACCTTCTTCCAATAATGGCAGGATCCCCGATTTTAGAAAGTGGGCAGTTCTTTGTGTAACAGGTTTGGCCAAAGACTGTTTAATAACCAACATTTTACAAGAATTAAATGACCAGATTGGTTTGTGGCTTTCTCCTAATTTCCTCATCCCTGGCTTCATTGTTTCTGACAATTCTTCTAATGTAGTACATGCAATCAAAGATGGTGGTTTTACCCACTTGCCATGCTTCCTACATTGTTTAAATATAGTCATCCAGGACTTTTTCTGTGAGCACAAAAGCATTGAGAACATGTTAGTGGCTGCTAGGAAAACGTGTCATCATTTTAGTCATTCAGTCAAGGCCCGTCAGATACTGCAAGAGTTCCAAAATGATCGCCAACTTCCATGGAAAAATTTGAAGCAGGATGAAGCTGGCCATTGGATTTCTACGTTTTATATGTTAAGATGGCTCTTGGAGTATTGTTACTCAGTCCACCATAGTCTTGGCAGAGCCAGTGGAGTTGTGCTAACTTCCCTTCAGTGGACTCTAATGACATATGTTTGTGATATTCTTAAACCATTTGAAGAGGCCACCCAGAAAGTGAGTGTAAAAACCACAGGATTGAATCAGGTGCTACCCCTAATCCATCATCTACTCCTTTCCCTGCAGAAACTCAGAGAAGATTTTCAAATTAGAGGTGTTCCTCAGGCCCTCAATCTGGTAGACAGTTTATCCCTGAAGCTTGAAACTGACACCCTACTAAGTGCCATACTCAAATCCAAGCCCTGTATCTTGGCTGCTTTGTTAGATCCTTGCTTTAAAAATAGTTTGGAAGACTTCTTCCCTCAAGGTGCTGATTTAGATACTTACAAGCAGATCCTTGCAGAAGAAGTTTGTAACTATATGGAATCTTCACCAGAGGTCTGCCATATTGCAACTTCAGAAGCTTCTGGTCCCTCAGCTATAGTAGGAGCTGATTCATTTACCTCATCTATAAGAGAAGGCACCTCCAGTTCAGAGTCTGTTGATAGTTCAGCTGCAGATAATGTTGCCATTGGAGGCAAAAGCTTCATGTTTCCTTCTGCCATAGCAGTAGTGGATGAATACTTCAAAGAAGAGTATTCAGAGATCTCAGGAGGTGATGACCCTTTGATTTACTGGCAGAAGAAGGTGAGCACATGGCCAGCTTTGACTCAAGTCGCCATTCAGTATCTGAGCTGCCCCATGTGTAGCTGGCAATCTGAATGTATCTTCACTGCAAATAGCCACTTTCATCCAAAGCAGATCATGACCCTGGACTTTGACAATGTAGAACAGCTGATGTTTTTGAAAATGAACTTGAAAAATGTTAACTATGATTATTCTACATTGGTTCTGAACTGGGATCCTGAGAATGAAATTACTCAAAGCAATGAAAAAGAAATATCCTAATTTCTTTTTCCTTTCTCCATTTAAAATGGGCAACTTATTGCTGTGTTACTGTATCCTAATTGCTATAATTGTTATATATAGTTATACTAATTATTCTTTACGCACAATCTGGGGAAACCTGAAAACACAAAAAGGGCTGAAAACGCCTCAGAGGTAATATAATGTTGACAAAATGAAGATTAAAGATTTTATGGTAGTAACTCATTATAGCTGTCACTGAAAATTTTGTTTATACCAATTGAGAGAGGAAAGATTTTTAATTAAAAAATATAGTGCAGCATTGAAAGGCCTTAGGCTATTTCTGGCTGGTAGTTTGAACTAGTAATTGGTTTTAAGTAAAAATTTCTCTCAACGTGGGAAGTTGATTGCTCTGAAACCAATGAAATTGAGAAAAAGGTATACTAAAGTGGTATCTCGACCCTTCACCCACCATTTTTCTATTTCTCTAAAAATCCTGATTCATACTTACGGCTTGACAAAAACAGAGTTCACAAAATTGTTTTATATTTGGAAATTTCTAATTGCCTCCTCATACTGGTCAGCTTTATAATTTCAACTTACTGAGTGTGATAGAGTTACCCTGTATATTTAGAATTGGATCTATATAAAAAGGAAACATTAGAAAACAATTAGGAAAAAATTACATTTGATCTTTGAATTACCTTTTTAACTTTTATAAACTTGTATGAAAATAATAAAGATTGTATAGGTACTTTCATGCTGAATGACAATTTTTACAAAATTGACAAAATGACATTGTTTACATTGACAAAAATGACAAAGTTTACAAAATTGAAAAAGATTGAATGGGAATTGGAATGAAAGCCCCATGAGCATACTGTGACAAACCCAGCATCCATTTCCCAAAGAATGTTTCTCTGAATTTAAGTTAGCTTACGTGTCTTTTAAGAATTATGCTGAATGATCCATAATACTGTATTCTTAGCTATGAGATTATTTTGGCTTCTATTCTTAATTAGAAATAAGCAGTTAATATTTTCATGTGTTAGGAACCATTGCCTCATAGTAAAATGAGAATTGATCTCAATGATTTTGTTCCTTTCCACTCAAAAGTATATTTCTGTGATTGAGTGGGAGGCCAGAAAATGATGACTTTTAGTAAAAGTCTATTAAAAGTTTCAGACTGAATAACTAATGTAAGATCCCAATTTTTCCTTTTTTTCATTTTAGATTTGGGGATATTCCCTGCCCAAAAATTTCCTGGAAAATTGACTAGTATTAAGTGTGAGTAAAAGGTGTCCACTTTTTTTTAAGTTTTGATTTTAGTTTTGTCTTGGATAGTATTTGGCAAGATTTAGCCTAGAAATTATGTAGTATTTATTACATGAGAATCAAAATTGCTTTGTTACTGGGCTGGTTTCAAAATTTAGAACTCATTTCTATGTATCAAAATCGTTTTTGGCTTTTGTTTTTTTTTTTTTTTTTTTTTTAAATTCTTAAATGGTAAATGTACCATTGTGAAATGAAATTTCAACCCCCAAAGTTTACCCTTTTACTAACTGGAGTAAATGGATAATTACAAAGTCTTCAGTTGTAGCCATCACTTAGTAAAGAATTTGGAACTAGGCTGCATAAGCAAGCCTTTGCAGGGCGAATATTGAATGTCATGCCAGTGACACTGGTATTGCTATAAAAGAAGGAAAAAATCTTCCCTTAGATAGAAGCTTTCTGTATTTTGACAGTGCCAGTTCAGGATGGCCATAATGCTGCTCTGCCTTCTACAGCTTGCTGCACCACTCTGTAGTTACTCTGTAACTATACATTTCTACCTTTTTTGGTTAAACACTCCCTGAAGATGATAAAAGATGATGTGATGGTATACGTACATCCATATTATACACATTGATATACGTGTAAGGATTTCCCTTCATCTTTATGTTGTGGGCTGGGCAAAATTCAGTGTAGCATATTAATATACTTCATGATACTTTGGTATAAGAGTAAGTTCACTATTTTTATAATGCACCCAAATTTAAAGGCTTTTGTAGTGTATTTTAAAAGGGAAAACTTACCCAAATGTTTTATTTCTACACATTTGTGTATATGTGTGTGTGTGTGTATAAGCCAGTTAGTGTATATGTATATGTATATTATACATAAAACACTTTGTATTTTTACATACAAGTATGCTTTTATTATACAGATAATAAAGATGGGGGAAGGTTTCTGTTTTTTTCTTAATAGGTGAAGAAATCTTGAAGACCAGAAATTGGATCTTATTGAATTTTGGTGTTCTTTTACTTTTTTCTTTTTCTTTTTTCTTTTTAAATTAATATTGTTCGGCTATGGAAGATGGATCTTGTTTTTTTTTTTTCCTTAATAATCCTTTGAATCTCAAGTTCATTTTTATATGAACTCTTTTTTTTTGTTGTTTTTTTGTTTTGAGGAGATAGCTAACCCTAGCTGTCTCCAGTTTGACAAAGGTTATTCAAATGGACTTAATCTCCCAGTAGTTGGGAGATGTTTTAAAACCACGTCCTGTGTTTGAATTGTGGCTGAGAGGTTTCCTTGGCAATGTGAGGAGGAAAGTTCTTTCTGCCTCATTATTATTAATTCATGGATTGAGTGTTGGTTCGACCTACAGGCGTAATAGATTGGAACTCAGTGAAGACACAGACTTTCCTGTTGAGAGCAACCAGCTAATGTAAGTGTGGAGATGGTTTTTTTCCTCATTAAAGGAGTCAACATTTTTGTAATTTAAAGCTTAATTTTTCTGGACCAGTAAGAGAAAGTTCTTGTCAAGATATTTTTTTCTTGTAATTGTTACAAGTTTTTGGTTTTTCGATGGAAATATCCCTTTTTCCCATTTTTTTGATAATTCATTCACACATAAAAGGTAAAAACAATATAGCCAAGGTGGAATCTCCCTGTAATTTCTGTCTCCTCAGAGAAAAACATGGTTAATAGTTTATCATGATACACAAAGCTCTGCCTCACCTCTTTTTAATGACTGCGTAGCATTCTTTTATATGGATGGATGTGCCGTAATTTAATATGTCCCTCGTTGATAGAGATTTGGACTTTTACCATAAAAACAAAAATAGCCACGTATCCAAAAACATCCCTGTACACACATACATGAGAACTATTTCTTTGAACCAGTTCTCAGATGGGAATTTGTAGAATTGTTACAATTCTCTTAAGAGATTGTACCAATTTGCTAAATTAATGAGGTCTTTTTGATTTTTAAAAGTTCTTGACCCATCCTTTTTAGTAAAGGTACTAATCTTTGGCTATGTTGTGGATAGATCTTTGGCTGTATGAATGTTTCTCATTTTATATAGTCACATTTATCAGTTTTAATATGGTTTTTAACTTTGGTATCCTGCTAAGGACAGGTTTTTTTCACCGTGAGCTTATAAAAAAAAAAATACCATGCCTTTTTTGCAGTATTTGAATGGTTGTATTTTATATTAAAAAATGTAATCTAGGGATTGTAATTATATGGCATGCCTCTCTCCTTCCCATGAAATGTAGTAGACATTGTCATATATTGCTTGCTTTTTTGCTCAGCATAGTTATGAATTGAGAATTTTTCTTATACAGTAAGCTGAAGCCTCTTTGCCATTCTT